TAAACCCGTGTTGAGCTTTCGATAGAATGTTGTATGACAATTGACTCCATGACTGTCGAAGACATTGATAGGAGTGTTACCCAGCGGTAGTTAGCGAGGTCACCACAACAGCCACCTTTGTATATGAGCGAAATAACTCCCTGTTTCCATGAATTTGTTTGGTAGAAAATCAGTTGAAATAGAATAGTTAGTGGTTTGGATATTCGCCAAAAACATAAGGAAGGATTTCGGGTGTATAATTTCCTCACCTGGGGTTGCATTTTTTCGCAAAGCCATTAATTTTGCTTTGAAGTTCTCCGTATTGAATGTTAAGGTAATCAGCGGAAGATATGAAAGATGTTGCAGTTGATGAGGGAGCTTTCGATCTTCTACATTTGGAACAGAAAAAGTATGGAATATTTAGTTTTCAGCATCTCAGTCGCTTCCGTTGCAGTCGCTACAACTCTCCCAGCGCAGCTTAGTGTCAGTATACCAAACTTAATATTCCGGATTGACATAACATGCCGATAAAATAAATAAGGATTTGAGATGAATCTCTACGCTAACGCCTCTCGGTACATCAGCTTATCCTCATGAATGAGCCTAGTGCAGTGGTTCCTCAGCATACAATAATTAGTCTAAGTGACGATATCCGGAAGACGTTTATAATCTCACCAGGATAGATCCCCCAGAGATAAACATTTTTCGTGTGACTTTGAAAAGGTGAATTTTGGATTCTAGATTTGGTGACTAAGACTAGTATTGGTCTCTAATGTTAGCAGATTTGAAAGACTGCCGATAAATTTCTGCCAGGAGGCCAGCAGTTTGGGCTTTTCATCGTAGGAAACCCGCTGAGTGAGGACCGCCAATGTTACAACCTGCTGTAATCTACGGATCTGTGCATAGTGCTTGCAGAACTTCTTTTCAATCGGTATGCCTTGTGCGAATTTTTCTCTTCCTTTGCCATAACAGTATTTCTACACCAGTCGCAAATTTTCGCCTAAAGTTCTAACTGAGAAACTAAACGACCTCATCACATTGTACGAAGTAAGTTCGTTTAAGCTTTATCCACTGGATCCCAAATGCACTAAAGCAAACAATTTTACATTTCGAATCAGTCATCAATATGTGAAATCTGAGATTTGAAAACGCTTCACGTTACCGTCGCTATTTTATTTATCATATGTATCGCTTGTCCGCATTTTGTTGTTCTTAATGCTGGCGCTTTTTGGCACTGATCAGTTCAGTTTTCAGTTTGTACAACCATTAACCAGACACTGTCGTGCGCCGGTTTTGGTTACTATCTTTCGGTTGCCCATTTAGATGAAGAATAGGAGTAAGACATAAAATGGTTGAAAGGAGGATCAAAGGGAAAATTTAGAATGTTAGTGGACCAACGATGCAGAGAAAATGAGAAGATGCACGAACACCACTGTTAAAACACCCAGCCATATCACTCAGTGTCTCCAACCATCGGGTACGACCATCCCGAGGTCCCCATCAAGAGCCTATGTGACCTATGCGGGACCTATGTGACCCACACTCATGATCAGGGTTTTCATACCCTCATGCCAGGTCTTAGCTTGACCACCCTTGGCTTTTTTCCATTCGGTGTCTGCTTCGGCGAACATAGCTTGCCATGACAACCTATCTAGTGACATGCGCAACACATGCCCCAACCAACGTAACCTATGGAAGATGATCACTTGCTCCAGTGGACGCCCGCATTTACCTAAAACTCTGCATCTAACCTCGGCATTGATTATGCGGTTGCCCACACCAGATTCGTGCAATGCTGCACAGACAGAGGTGTTCAAACACCGAAAGTCTATATTTATCCTGTCTCCTTAATGGCTAAATTTGTGCGTCGTATAGAAGAACTGGCCGAACTGCCGCGGCATACACTCTACCCTTCACGGACAGCTCGATTTCGCGACGGCGCCACAGATGTCTCAAGTAGGCGAAAGCCTTCTACATGCGACCTGACACTTCATCCCTGATGCATTCGCCCGATGAGATGTATCTACCCAAGTAACAAAATTTATCCATTTTCTCTATTACTTCCCCGATTAGAGTGAGGCTGGGTGCCGTGGCAATGTCCGTGATGCATGAATATAGCCGTTCTGGCACAAAAAGAAAGAACTTACTTGAATTTTTTCCGTGTGTTATCAACATGGCGACCTTCGAAGTGTGTGTTCTCGACACATGGTAGTGGTCTCTATTCTCAGTGTCCCCCCCCCACCCCACCACAAAGTGACAATGCACAAAGACTGGTCCTGGTGAACTTCTCATGACAACTTCTTCAATTTGGGCAATAGCGATTTTTGTTTAAACAGAACCGTGCATCTTAAGTTCACAGAAATGGCGATTTTCCATTTGATAGAACTTTTAGTCCGTCGATTTATCAACAGCAGTTTTCGTTTAAAGGAACTTTGGTAATCAGTGGACAAACACCATGCAATACAATGCATTTACGAGAAATTGTATTGTATTTTACTGAAGCTTCTGAAGTCAAGCTTTTTTGCTGGACAAGATCAAACGGATCCATTAGGGGCTGCGCCAAGAAGACAACTGTCCGATTGGCTGAATGAATTCAATTAGCCCTCGCCCAAGTCAGTGATGATGAGATGCTCC